GGAGAGTCGGGCTGCTCTCTCCGGGCGTCGTTAACTGCGGCCGGAGGGTCAGTGGGGCAGGGTTCCGCCTTTCGGTCCCTTCCTGACTCCCGGTCCGCGCCGGGACTGTGCGCTTCGAGCCTCCTACCGGGCCTGGCGTCGCCTCACGGCGGCCGGTCTCGTCCGCTTTGTAGGTGCGCTCGGGCTCGCCGTCGAGGGAGCCGGGCCGTCGTGGCCGGACCTTGCGCGGCCGCAGGTAAGTGGGCTTCGAGCCCCGGCGCGTGACCCCTGGCCCGCGGGTCCGAGTCCGGGTCGGGGTCGCGGGAGCACACTCCCCCTTCGGGGGATGGCTGAGGACCCCGCTCCCTGAAGTAGCGAGAGCTGGGCGGGTCCGTCCTGGGAGGGAGGGCGTCGGCACGCGGGCGCGCGTGGTCAGTCACCACCTCACCTCGCGGATGGCAGGAGCGAGAGTGGTTCGCAGTCATTGCTTTTTCCAGAGCTCGGTGAGGAACTGGACTGGGCTTGGCAGTGGACAGCATTCACTCGTGTGCTGTCTCTTTGGCCACTGGTGCCCTAGCAGGTGTTTTAGTGTTAGGATGACACGGGCTTTCAGGTCGAAGACCCCCCAGGGTGGGGGGTGTATCTGAGGTTCCAGAAAGCCTAGGTGGCCGAGGTAGGTGCTGGGGGCTCCTGTGGCTCCGAATGCTGCAGGCTACCCAGAGAAGTGCTGGGTGGAAAGACCAACAAGCCGTGCCTTCCCGGAGGAGCTCCCATGGTGGGGATAGGTAAACAGGTAGGAAGCTGCCCCGAAGGTGAGTGCAGACCGGTGCCCCTAGGTAGGAGTCAGTGGAGCCTTGGGGTATTTGTTGAGGGGGGGATTGTTGGTAAGATCGCACAAGGGGTGAGTGAAGCCTCTGTGGAGGCCACGAGTGGACCTCTCGTTGCAGAGAGACTGGCGAGATGGCTCCCCTCAGGCTGAACAGTGGGAGGGCTCCTTGCACTGGAAGGGAACCTTACCTCCCGACCTACAGCCTCCTTTACTGTGTCTTTGCCTCTTTGGGCCACTCAGCGGTGGTGATCACTGCTCTCCAGGCCCTTTGCAGGGGTGATTTTGGGGCAGTGAGAGTACACAGTGCAAGTGGGATTTAACTTGGGGGATCAGGTGCTGGGCTGTTGGCAGGGATGGGGATGCGGGGAGCTTATTTGAGGTGGGGGTGGCTGCACGCTGGGTAGTGAGGTGAGTCTCAGAAGCCTGGGAGAAGGCAGGCAGGTGGCACCTACACTGTCACGGTGCTGTGATGTAGAAGGCAGTCATGATGCCGGCAGTGTTCTTAGCGGTGCTGTGTTTGGGGCGGTTGGGGGATGGTTCAGAGGACAATGAAGTCCGTAACTGGCCTGGTAACGCGTGGTGACGTGTGTGGTCTCTAGAGCCGGGTCAGCTGCCTCCGCCACTTGCTAGTTGATGTGTGGCTGCAGACAAGAGATTTCACTCACCACTCTGCTTCAGGGTGGTAAGAGTACCAGCCTCGTCCTCGTCGGGGTCAGCGTTGGGCATGAATAGAGCGTTCAGTGAATGGGTTACTGTTGTTATCCTTCTCCTGAAATTCCCCAACAGCCATCCAGGCTGTCTGGGGAAGCCCAGGGGCTTCTGGTCTGGCCCCTTCCTTTTCCTGGGACTGACATCACTGACATCACATCTGGCTCTTACAGCATCACAGGTGGTGTTTGCCACCTTCTCAGGCCTCCCAGCCTTCTCCCACTCAGAGCTCTGGGTGGGGTGCCCAGGTTGGCCCCCTGTTGCCCAGTGGTCATGGTTGGGCCTAGTTCCTGCTCTTCTCACCTTGTTTTTGGACAGATTGCCTTGGATGGTGGCCTGCATCTGACAGTCCCATCGCTCCTCTCTGCTATTCTGAGGCCGCAGCTGTCAGCCCTTCAGCGCTTGCATGGAACGCCAGGGTTTGCCACAGCCTCTCCAGCCACCTCTGTCCTGTTGTGTCCCGTGTGCCTTCTGCCCACCCTGCCTGGACGTCTCTTCCTTTCTCCTCTTCCTTCGCGCAGTTGGCGGGGCAGCTTGTGCCTGCTTCCAGCATGCCTCAAGGCTGGTGCCGTCGGCAGGGCCCTCGCAATCCTATCTGGGTGGCAGCCAATTACGCCAGTGCATGCCTTTGGCAGCAGGTGGATGGGGCCTCTCCTGGGGTCACACATGCACCATTGGTGGATCTCTGGATCGAGCAGCCCTGCTGTGGGGACCTTGTGTGCGTGCGCACAACCACGGAGCAGATGAGCACAGCGGGCCCTGCTCCTGGCGGTAAGCCTACAGAGAGTGGGCCCCCAGTGATGCGCATACTCTGCCCATGGCCCCCTCTGGGTGGACTTCCACTGGGTGCCCGACTAAGACCCAGGCACCTTCGATGGTTCCCCTTGGCTGCTGAACCGCTTCTTGGCCCAGCTGGGTGATTTCATGTCCTTCCACTTTGAGCACTACCAGGACAACCATGCCAGCCCTTTGGGCTTGATTCTTGTGTGATACCTGCCTGGACCCCTGCCTCAGTGTTCACCACGTGTAATCTCTGTCCTGTGGGCTGGAAATTAAGGAAGGCTGCATGGAGGAGGCAGCTCCTTTCATTATCCAGTGTGAGGTTCTTGGGCTCCTGATGGGCCAGGCCTGGGCGTGGGCAGCCCCCTAGCTCAATGGGGACCTGCCCTTGCCTGACAATTGTGAGCTCTTTTGCCAGGATCCTGAGGAAGTTATTTAAGCCCTGAACAACTTCGCTGAGTACCACGCTGCGGTTCCCCACCTTTTGACTCCGGCCTCGAGCCAGCCGCCCATAGCCCCGCAGCTGCCTGTGCTAAGACAGTACTTAGCTTGGTTCTCTGAGGCCCTGGCACTCAACGTGGGCTCTCCTCCCAGGCCTGTCCCAGCTGCTCTGGCCACCTCTGCTGTTTGTAGTTCTGACTCCACATCCAGAGATGCTCTGTCCAAGCAGCAGCTAGCCACGGAGAGCAGCCTTAGGCCCGCGGAGCCTCCTACCTGGTCCAGTTCTGCATGCAACACCATTCCTGGTCCTGGGGGGTCAGCTTCCTCCCAGCCAGGGGTGGTGGCCTCCAGACTTCCCTGCCCTTACAGAGTCTACTAAACCCTCTGCCCAGAAACCAGGTCCCGCTCACCCAAGGGGTCCAGAACGCCAGAAAACACAGGAGGTCTCTGAGACAGAGGGAGACCAGGAGGCACCCTTAGGTACCCCACAGAGGGCAGTGGACGCCTCGGAGACCCCAAGAGAGCCACCATGTCCTCCCGTGCCCCAGCCCACAGCCCTGGATTCTGAATGTGCAGGTGCAGCAGTGCCCTCTCATGATGAAGTGGCCTGCATAGCCAAGGAGCCCCCAGCCCCCTGTCAGGACAGTGGCATTGCCAGATGACTGTAGATGTAGCACCAGGTGTCTCTCTGTACACTTGCCCTGTTACTGGGCATTGGTGCACCTGTCTGAGCATACACGGCTCCTTAGCACCACACCCCCAGCACAGGAGGACACTGGCCTCTGCCCTGCCCCTCAGGCCCCAACTCCCCCAGTGGCCCAGAGGCTGCCTCCCCCCCAGCTCTCAGCTACATCTTCACATCTTATTGGGGAGTGCCGTCTCACCTGGCCTGTTCCCACTGGTCGATCATTTCCCCACCTGCTATTTGTACTGTCCTTGTGACTGTCTCCCTCCTTCCCCCCCAAAACTGACTTCCTTCCGTGCTGGCTGGGACTGGACTGGGTCTGCCATGCCAGCCCTTTGGGCTTGATTCTTGTGTGATACCTGCCTGGACCCCTGCCTCAGTGTTCACCACGTGTAATCTCTGTCCTGTGGGCTGGAAATTAAGGAAGGCTGCATGGAGGAGGCAGCTCCTTTCATTATCCAGTGTGAGTAGGGTGTCTTGGCAGAGGAGGGCGCTTCCCTGTGGGCCTCCTGGCATCCCTGCCTCACAAGAAGGCTTGGACACAGGGAGGTGTGGTGGGCACCTCCTTGCCAGACCAGCTCCTCCCAGGCGTTTGCCCTGCTGTAGGAGCTTCTAGTCATGCCGGGTCTTCAGGAGGCGGCCCGGGCCTGTGCTGCCCTCCCTCCTGCTCTCCAGCAGTCCTGCTCCCCTGCCCGTGTGTGCATGGCTTATGTCACTGCTCAGACCCCGACACAGTAATGACTCATGTCTCTGGGTAGACTGAGCTCTAGGGCAGGGGCTCTCCCTCAGTCAGCCTTGTGCTCCTGGTACACAGTCGGTGCTCATTAAATGTGTGTGAGCCCATGGCTGAGCTGTGGTGTGGTGGCTGCTGACTGAGCAGAGTCCTTGCCCATCATCAGGAGCAGAGGCCTAGGCCCCACTGCCCAGTCAGCGTTGCACGTGTGATTTCTGATGGGGGCTTGGAGCATCGCAGGGTCTGGCTGAAGGGGTTGGGACAGAGTGGGTGGGAGTAGGAGGCTCGGTGGGGGCAGTGTGGCTAGAGGTCGAGTGGGGAGTAAGCAGTGGACCAGAACTGTGGGGCTGCAGGGCCAGAGGGCTGGGGTGGAGAAGGGCTCACCCTGCACGGGGCAGGTTTCCTAATGACCAGTGAGGTCAGCACCGGACAGACACAGTGCCCCTGCACAGAGGGCAGGTAGGCAAGCATTTCCAGTCCATTTGGGTTTTGCAATTGTGGAAACAAAGCAGAGCACCTTTTTGGAAAGTAGGAGGGAAACATAAGTGGAAATGTGAACTGCAACTGAAACGATTCATTTTAGGAAAAACAGTAACAAGTGGGTAAAACGTTTTAAGTCAAATAGATATCTTTGGGATTATTTCATTCAGTAGTTTGCTGGAAAAGGCCCTGGGTCCGGGTGGTGTTACTTGAGAGTTACTCTAAGGCTCAGACATCCAGTAAGTACAGCACTTGTAGCTGTGCATCTTGGAAAGACTCTGAGGCGGCGGTGGCTTTTACTGATCAGGTGTGAGATCTGGACGGTCCTGCCCAGCCTGGTCGCACTGCTGCCCCCGTGCTGTCACTCAGGCCCGGCCCTCCTGTGGGTCCAGGGTTGTTGGCAATGTCAGGACTCTTGTCTGAGCTGGTGAGATGCCTGTGGCCACAGAGCCTGGAGCCGCCCTCGGACAGACACCCAGTCAGCGCCCCTCTGCCCAGCCTGCCCTTTCTGCTTCCACTTAGTGGACCTGGAGTGAATTCCTTCAGCTCGAGATTGTCCTCTTCCCTGGTGACTCCTGGGCCTCTTGGGACCTGTCCTCCCAGACAGCTCCTGGGGCCTGGGTTGTGGTAGCACACCTCTCCTGAGGGCTGGCTCTGCGGGACTGGCCTGAGGGGACTTGGGCAGAGACCAGACAGATGGCCTGTGAAGAACAGATCCTGCCATCGGGCCTGCACCATGAAGGGAGGGGCAGGAGGGCAGGCTTGGTGGCCAGGCTGTAGGCTGCCCATTCCAGGGTGCCTGCGTGGTGCAGTCAGGGGAGTCTGGAAGGGAGCTGTGCCCTGCCTTTGGACAGAGGTGATGACCCACCTGCTTTCCCCTTGTCGGGGGGAGGAGCACACGGCCAGGAGTGAGCCCTGCGCGCACGGTGGCAGGAAGGCCCTTGGGTCATTCCCTACTCTTGGCTCTGCACAGGCAGGCAGGCAACCCGGGGGTCGGTGCTCTGGGGACACATGGCCTGGCAGGGTTTGCTGGGTGTGCTCAGGGTGGGCTGGGGTGTTGGGGCCTGCTTTCCAGATGGTCGTGTCTGTCCCTCACTCCCTTGGAAATACCCGGAGGTTTCATTTCCTAAAGCTACGACATGGGGCACTGTGGGAGGGCTTTTGAAGCACCTGACTCCACGGAAAATTCTATGTCTGGAAGTATGGAGGATGAGGTCCTGTTTTGTATCTCACATTTTTTTAAAGCTGCAAGAATGAGAGGACTTCGAAATCGGTGTGGGCAGATGAGCAGCGGAGGACGGAGAACTCTGAGATAAAGTCAAACGAACAGAGGGATTTCGTTCACACACGTGGTGCTGCTCCTTATTAACGGGGGTAGGGTGGACCATTCTACGAAAAGAACTGGAGCAACGGGTCAGTCACCGGGAACAGTGACACCGGGCACCTGCCTCTACCAGCCATACTCTGGGACAGAGTTAATGTTAAAAAGTCTTAAAAGTACACAGGGAGATTGGGGGTGAACTGTTTCTCTGCTGTGATTCCAGAACTTGGATGTCCTAGGTGCCTGGGACTGCAGGAGGCGTGGAGGTGCTCTTTGGCACTGTTGGTGGGAGCATCACAGGCCAGGATTGGCCGTAGCAGCCGTGGGCCTGCCTGCGGATGGATGCTGCTTGCTCTGTGGTGGCATTGACCTCCAAGCCCATCGGAGTAGCTGGTCCTCACGGGGCAGGGGGGAGGGCCGAATGCCACCACGTTGTGCACTGGCCGGAGCCCCAGCAACTGTTAACAGCCCAGAGGTGCAGCGGGGAGGAGCAAGGTGACGGGGCTGCCGGGGCCGAGTTGTCAGGGTGGGCACCAGTACTGCAGAAAGGAACCTCCGGTGTCTCCGCAATCCCGTCCATCGCTGTCCCTCGGCCGACGTGGATGGTTCCTCCGGACACATCCCTCCACCACTGTGAAGCACAGGTGGTGCGCTTGACTGCCCCGTCTAGCGGCCCAAGAAGCCTCTGCCCCTTTCGTGAGCACTGATCTCCACAGGTGGGTGGGCTCTCAGCATGGCCCAGCCCCGCAGCCAAGTCCCCACTGTCCTCTGCGGGCCTCTGCTCGGGCAGCGGGGCTTAAACGACAGTGTGTCTCCTCCTGGTTCTGGGCCTGGATGTCCGAGGTCTGGGTGTCATGAGGCTGTTCCTCCTGAGGCCTTTCTCCTTGGCCTGTGCACACCCTCATCTCCCTGTGTCCCCATGGCCGTCCCCAGGGTGCCTGCATCCTCCTCTCATGAGGACACCAGTCCTGTTGGATTGGGACCCACCCGTGTGACCTCATTTAACCTTAATTACCTCCTTAAAGGGTCCACCCCCAAGCACGGCCACGTTGAGGTGCTGGGAGTAGAACTCAGTGTCAGGGGAGGGAGGCACAGCTTAGCCCACAGTAACGCCTGAGCTGAATTCCTCTCTCGTTTTTGCAGTTTGGGGCAGTGCTCGTCAGCACCCTTCCACGTGGTCCCTGTGTGCAGAGCTGTCCCAGCCCCCGACGACGTGCCCCACTGTCCCGTATCCAGGACTCCTTTTCCTAAGAAGCCTCTCCCTGCCTGAGGGTGCACAGACATTACCATGTATTTCCAAGTTCGGATGTTTCCTTTTACGTTGACTCTGGAATCTCCTTGTAACTAACAGAGACGATCTGCTGCCATCACAACCTGTGAAGAGCAGACCCGCCCACCTGCGCCTCACCTGTAACACGAGTGGGGAATAAACGTTGGATGTGTGAAGCCACAAGTTTTGGGGCTTGTGTTTTCCACAGCATGACCTAGTCAGTCCTGACCGATAGCACCCTGCTTCACCTCCCCACAGGGCACGGGCTCCAGCATCAGGCTGGTGCTAGGCTGGCTGCACCTGTCCCTGGTGCCCTGCCCTGTACATGCCTGGCTCTCTGGTCTGGCCTGTCCCCACTAATTAAGTGGCTCTATACTGAGTCTTCATTATCTGATAGAGAAACACCACCCCTCTACCCTTGTTCTGCAAATCATCTTAGCAGGTTTTTGCAACATGTTTTATCCCAAACACAGAGTGAGAGGGTGGGACAGGGGACCACGGTGTGGCCGTCACCCAGCTCTAGGGGTGGTCAGCCCTCACCCTGGGGGCACCGTGTTGCTGGACTGCCTAGCCCAGCACGATGTCCGGGATGGCAGGCGCCCTGAGCTCACTGTCTCTCTGGGCTATAGATGGGTGGTCTGTTCCAGGGCATGAAGGGTGAGCCAGGGATGAGCCCCTGGCCTGCAGGGCACCCTGTTCCTTGTCCTCCTGCTTTGGGGGTGCTCGTCCACCTGCCCAGCACCCTGTCTCCCCATTGGCGGGGCCGTCCGAAGGCAGGGAGGGACGTCCCTGGGCTGCTCTCCACCCATGGTCTGGGCAGGGAGCCTGGGCCAGTGGTCAGGAGTGAGCCCACGCCCTGCCTGGTGGGTGCCACTCTTCATGGCTGAAGTGTGGCTGCTGCGTGACAGCCCAGACCCCTGCTCCTCCCCGCTGTGCCTCTGGGCTGTTAGCCCCAGGAGACAGCAAGCTCAGCATTCCTGCCAGCCAGAGACTCTGCTAGGCCAGGCAGACTAGTGACACGGTGCCCCCAGGGCGAGGGCTGACCACTGTGCCACCACACCACGTGGTGGCATTTGTCTCTCTCACCCTCCTGTGAGGAGAGACAACTGTGGCTGCTGGAAGCGCCACATTGCCCCCCACGAGTCCTCGGGCAGACTCTCCACTGTATACTTCTATGCCGTAGGCAAGGCTTTCTAAAGGCCATGTGTGGGTGGGGAGGTGGGAGGCCCATGAGGGCCTGCAGGGTAGGGATCCAAGAGGCATGGGCTTGGCCAGGCACCTGGTCAGTGTGCTGTCCCCTGGGGCACAGCAGCCTCACCACCTTGGCCCAGTGTTCTCCAATGACAGGGTGCAAAGGGGCTTCAGGTGGTGGCACCTGGGAGGGTGGCCTGGGCCAGTGCGGTTTTGCCCCTGCGCCTGCCATGGCCTCCCGGTCCCTTCATTGTCCCCCAACTCCCAGCAAGTTGCTGAACTTCTCCAAGCCTCTCTCTTGCCTCCTGTAAACTGGAGAGAGTCTGCCTCAGGGCTGCGCCCTGCCCACCGTCCCTCCCGTGAGGTCAGTGTGAGTGTACGTGTACCAGACAGGTGTGGGCACGGTGCACAACTGGGGATGTGTGGTGCATCCCTGGGCGTGTTCCCCACTCGAGGTGGCCTCTGCCACAGGAGCAGCCACTTGCACCCCGGAAGAACATGCCCCCCAGCACCACCCTTAGGGGCCCCCTGGCACCAGCCCCTGGGAGCATTGTCTGGGTGCAGCCGTCAGCACTAGGCAGCTGGCCCCAGTGGACCAGACCTCCTGGAGGAAGTGGCCCCAGAAGCTGGCAGTAGCCCTAGGATGGTCACGTTTCCTGTAAAACTCGGAGCTCTTCCCCAGGAGCAAGCAGGCCGCAGCCTCTTGTTGGCCCAGGTCCCACCCCTGCCCGTAAGTGCCACAGGCCGACTGAAAACGCCCAGTGGGCTTCCTTCCTGCCATCCCCAGGCTCCATGGACCCGGCAGCCCTCACCCTGGTGTTTCCTCTCAGCCCAGCCAGGACGCCCGTCCCCCAGTCCCAAGGAGTCCCACTCGCAGCTCAGTGCCCGCAGCTGCAGGAAGCACCTCTCACACCTCGTGTGTTCACGCCTTGCCCGCCATGCGAGGCTCCAGGAGGCTCACTGCTGCTGTGGTGGTGGCGGGTTAGGGGAGGTCGGGTGCGGTGGGCTGGTGGGAGGGGCCTACTCAGCTCTGCCCGTGCACCCAGTGCAGCACGTGGACCTTGACCCCCAAAGAGGAGCCTGGTCCCAGGAGTCTGCCCTCTGCTGTGTTCTTCCCCAAACGCGGGGGCAAGTCAGGAGGGGCGCACAAAGCCCCAAGGGGCTCCACGGGATTCAGCTGCCCCGGGGGGCCTGGGATGCTGCCCTAGGGAGGTGAGGTCGGTGCCGCTGCTGCTTGGGGTGTGGGGCCTGCTGGAGAGGCAGTGTCCCCTCCTGGGAGCCGGAAGCAGCCCAGCTTTGTGGGAGAAGTGACTTGCTTCTCTTGGATGGAATACGAGGCTCGGGCCCAGGACGAGGGGGTGGGTGGCCATCTTCCCTGGGGTCTTCAGGAGCACAGCACCCGGCTGCACCCCAAAAACCGTGTACATAGCTGTCCTCTGAGTTCGCTGTGCAGTTCACAGGTCACAGGGAGATGCCCTGCCCACGAGGGGCCCAGGCTGGGCTTGGGAGTCTTCCCTGTGCCCCCAGAACAGCCGGCACCAGGCCTGCCAGCCCCGGGCCCAGCACAGTCAGGCACCACTGAGGCTGCCCCCCAGCTGCTGGGCAACACTGTGCCAGAGGCAGGCAGGCCTGGGACCCCACCCCCAGGAGCACACAGAGGTACATCAGGGCCGGGGGAGGTGGGAAGGGCCTGTCCTGGGGAAGGCGGTACAGGGATGGCGCCCGGTTCCCTGTCCGCACTGGGCTCTGAGGCCCGCAGTGCACAGGGCTGCCTGTGGCACCG